CTCCCACCCAGGCCTCATTAAAGGTCTCCAGGCTATAATTCATTGGCTCTCCAATCACTCAGTCCCACCAGCAGCCTCTCAGGGATTCATGTTGCTCAGGGAATAAAGCTGCACACAAACTAAAGAATTATTATACTAAAGAAACAAAAAGGCAGAAGGAAAACAAACAAACAAACAAACAAACAAAAAAAGCTTATGTTCTGTTCTAATATGTGATTTTGGATTAAATGTCATGAAACTAATCAGAATGTGGATTATTAACAAAGAGGGGATGGTTATTAGTGAATCCATGTCAAGTAAAGAAAATGAACAGAGGAAAACAGAAAGATCCTGGGACCACAGCACACACAGAGCAGTGAACAAGAAAAAAACATGAATGTTTGGAGGAAATGTGTCATAAATTGTCCACTGACAGTTTAACACTCTGACACCACAAGAAAACAAGAACTGTATCAAAATCCTGCCCATAGATCTTCTTATCCTTTGAATACAGATGAACAATCATTTTCTCACCATTTTTTAGACTGGAGTGAAACTTGTAGACATCTGAGTGAAAACACTGCGGTCCCTGTTTCCTTCAAAGAACCTGGTCTATGTGGGCCTGGGCATTTGTTGACCGTGAAGACTAGAAGAAAGGGGTGTGAATTTGGACGGTTTAGTCTCTCCAATGTGTCCTGAGTCGTCCTCAGGTCTCCTCCCAGTTGGACCTCCTTTGGGAGACATCCTTACCAGAAGCCCAAACCACCTCGACTGAGGAGCAGCTCCACTTTGAGTCTTTGAATGTCTCCAGTGACTGAACATCTCAACATCTAAGAGTCCAGCTGTGGAGAAAGCTCATTTTAACTGCCTGTTTCTGAAACCTCACTGATCACTACCTGTAATCCATATGAGAGTAGGAACACCGAGCAACAGGTAAACCTAGAGCTTCACCTTACAGGTGAGAGCTCAGCTCCTCTTCACCACAACAGACCAGTACAGAGTTCACAAGACCAAACCAATCTGTCAGTCAACCTCACACTCCATTTTTCCTTTAAACTTCACTTTTAGAAATAAAACCTGTTTTTCACTTAAAGTAGCTGCAACCTTTCTGCTCTTACTGGACTTTGGTGATGGGATGTAAATGAGTGCCTCATCCAGATATCTGCAGTCCTTAGACACTGTTTACCACAGTCCTCTGAGGTTCATCACTGGTTCCAGTTACCTCACTGTGAGCTAAACCTGGCTGGTCTTCTGTTACTGCATAACTCTAACTACAAGGCCCTTTAGGACTTATTTCCTTTGTATTTAAGCTCTTTATTACAAAGATCTAACAGCTATTATGCCCTTTGCTCCAACAATATTGTCCTTAGTTCCAAATGGCTGAACTGAATCAGGGAAAACAGGTTTAAACACTCCTGAAAATTACAGTCTGACCAATACCTGCCAGGACCGTCTCTGTAAGACCCTAAAACCTGCCAGGACCGTCTCTGTAAGACCCTAAAACCTGCCAGGACCGTCTCTGTAAGACCCTAAAACCTACCAGGACCGTCTCTGTAAG